TAATCATGAAAGAATGATCTCTCTCAGATGAAGACTCTGACATACTAACACTCACTCCTAACCCACTGGAAGATATAAGAGTAAAGGAAGACTATGCAACAAGAAACAGAGACTTCTAACTAACAAATCCTCATTACATTCACAAAAAAGGTATAGAGTTTAATATAGTGGGTCACAACCCATATATGAACTTTATTATAAGTCAGTACCAAGTTGATACTATTTCGGTACTCGGTTTGGAACCCTAGTCCTTATTATAATTAATAGCAACAACAAAGACTAAAATATAATCCACTTAGAAATCATAATCATGTGATTTAAAAATAACATGATTTGGTGGAAATAGGATTATCCTAATTAATTTTTTTTTTTACAAATAAGTATTAAATACAGTGCTTTTTATTAAACATATATTTTACTGCCATTACATTAACAATTTTTGTAAATATATAAATTAATTATAACCTATTATGATTTTTTATTTCAGAATATTAACTTATATCATGAGTAGATCCATATGCTAGATGGGAAGTATCAAGAAGGTATAAATTCTGCCTTCAATTTTAAACCACTTAACCTTATATTTCAGTTTGTAGAAGTTTAACCATAATTTGATATAGTAATTATCACTAGGTTTCTTATTATATTTATATCTTTAGCTTATGCAGCCATGGTACTTTATAAACTTTTTCTTTATATTTTTCAATAAATATTTCAAAAGTTGTTCTTATAATTGGCACAAATTATCAAATCTGAAAACCATCAAAAAGAATATAAGTTTATTATGGAAGTTAAACCAGAAGTTTTTTCTTGTACAATCTTCCTTACTTTGATCTGTTTTTAGCTTATGATCATTAGAAATATCAGAAGTTTTATTTTCATGTAGCTTAATTAAATTTGGATAGAAATTGGATGTTTAGATATAATATATTGATGTAGAAAAACCAGTAAGTCCACTATAAAGTATGATTTTTGTATATTTTTTTTCTTGTGAATATTGAATTAGAAATATATATTTGAAGATCTGGAAGCATTACCTACTGTGCTATTGACTCACAGGTCTTTTTTTTCAATAACATTACTATTTAAAGACTTCAGTCTTTCCCTATTTGTTTCTTTTTCTCTTTGAAATAAACTTTTTGTATTTCTGCAAGTAAACACAAGAAAAACCTACCTACAAAGTCACATTTTGTTAAAAAAAAACAACTTGTAGAAACAACACTCTTCTTTTTTTCTTTAGATATTCAAGATTCTAAAGAAGATCACAGATTTTTAAAATTCTTTTTTTAATCTTCTTTTCTCTATCTTCTCAAATATATAACATTTTTCTGACCCTGAATTTTTGGTTACACCAGAATTCCTGAATGATGATTGGCTCGAAATTTGGATTGGTTAATCTGCAGGTAACAAAAAATAAAAACAAGACACATAAATCTTACATGTTTCATGTTGTGCAACTTATGCCTGATGATATGATTGATGATAGCTGAAAGAGCAAGGTAACAAGATAATCTCTTTGGCAAAAGAAATATTTGATGCTTTTCTCTCTCCTCTTGGACTGGTTTTGCTTCTCTTCAAAATTAAAAGAGAGTCTTATTTCAATCCAGTAACAAGTTAGCTTTATTGTTGATTATCTTGAGAAAGGGTCTTGAAACTATCCATTGGTAGAATAGAGCTATAAATACTTGGAGAATCAGCCAGAAGAGAAATCGTTAATTAAAATACCAACTTTCTCTAAAGGTTAGCATTCTTTGAACATAAAGTTTCAAGAAATACTCTTCTGGAAGTACAATAGAATAATGGAAATTAAATGGTTAGCCAGCTGCAGGTAACTGGACTATCAGTAATCAAGAAGTTGCTTTGATTTACCAGTGCCAATCTTTTCTTTTCTTTTTCATTTCATTTTTACTTTATTTCCATAGGACCACAGCAGTTATATAAGAGTGACAGTCCCAAGTGAAAACTGGCCATAATGTTGACTGGCAGAGAGATCCAGAATAGAATTGAGCAATTTTATAATTTCCCATAATTATCTTAAGCTTATAATGGGTATGCTGCATATTATCAATAAGTTTATCCCTATCATAGTATTTCTTTATATATAAATATAAACATTTTCTATTTAAGATTAATTCTTTTCAATATGGAAAATGCTTTTAAAACATAAAATATAATGAAAAAAAATTTCTCTAGTTAATAGTGACATACTTTATTCTCTTTGAAAATATAGTCCTTATTGATAAAGAAGCCATAAAGTTGAAACAGCTTTCTTTATTCTCAAACAAGTTGCCTTAAATAGTAAGCTGAAAGTATTATTGGAGTTTGCATAAGCCCCTTTATAACAAATAGTTGAGTGCTATTTCTTATACAACTAGAAGATATAGATTAATATCCATTGAATAAAATAATACTTAAGAATTTTACTTATAACAAAAACATTTTTTTTCTTTTATAACTTTTACTTGTAATACAATACCTTTGGTTATAGATATTTTGTAATGGAATCTTATTTGACTATAATGAATAGCAATGGTAACACTTTACTATAATCAGATAACAAATGGCCAATCCTAGTTGAACAGTTTTTAGACTGGTTAAAAACTTGAAAAGAAGATATATAATAAATACAAAATCATTGAAGACACATATAAAGAAACAGGTTTATCTTGTTTTACAACTATACACTAGTGCCAAACAAGTATAACCTGATGCATATTTTCTTTCAACACATATTTTGAAATACTATAAACTTTTTTGATAGGTTTTTTGGATCTATAGTTGGTTATAGAAAATATATTAATATAAAAAACAATATTATTATATACAAAAAACACAGCATTAATTTCTTGATCTTTGCTATAAAATTTTTTTCCTATAGGTTAAGTGATTATAAGATGCTTATTAAGTTTCCTTATATTGGATAGTACAAGGGACTTGTTGAATAAACCTTGACAAATTAGTTTTTCTCCTAGACTATTCTTCATATAGATTATATATCTCTTTTGAGTATATATATTAAACAATATAGACTTGTGGGTCCATAGCATAGTGGTTAGTGCTCTACAGGTCAAATCCCAAGATACCAGTTCAACCCTATGTGAGAGCAATTGAATAGAATTAATATAATATTTGGCATCATAATCTGTAAAAGTGCTGTTTCTTATAAGAAGCTGTTTCACATGCTGATCCAGTAGGCATTGAGATTGTGATTTCCTGAAAAGATGTCATGGCACGAAAATCATTCAGTTGGTACTATGATGATTGCCAGAAGTTGCAAGGTATATAAGGTATCAATTTTTGACAAGCAGGTTTGATGATAATTTTCCTAATATCTGGTATCTTTCTGCAGATCCCTGCCCTAGTCTCATCCCAATCCAGTAAGGCTTCGAAAAAGTACTGAACTGGTATCAAAATGGTACCGATCTATAGTAAATTTAATATATAGGTTGTAACCTACTTATATGTTTTTATAATAAATTTAAGTATCAAAGTGGTATTGTTAGGAGCCCTACAATCCAGTAATATCAATCTAGTGGTGCTTATCCCAATAAGGCATCTGGCAGTAAAGCCTGCTTCATGCAAAGTTATGTAAGTTGCTATTCAGGCAGTAAGAACCAGTTATAAGTCTACCTTGAACATTCTTGAATATTATTTAGACAGGTAAGAAATATAGCTTTATTCACTATATAAAGAATGGGTTTTGATATATTCCAGAGAGGCATGGTCAGTTACAACTGTGGATTTTTTCCTTCCAGATACATGTGCCAGGTTATGTACTATAGCCAGAAGTTTTTTTTTATATACAGGTAGTTCAGTTTAGCTGGAGAGAGTTTTCTTGAATTTTAAGCAACTGGTTGTTTTCCTTGTCCTTGGCCCTGATTTAATACTGCTTTAATATCAAAGTCAGAGACATTTGTGGTGATACCAAAAGGTTTGATAAGGTCAAATAGCAACAAAACCAGAGCTGTGATAAGAGCTTCTTTTAACTTCTCAAATGCTTCTTGTTCTGGGGTGTTTCAGAAAAATTCTCAGTCCTTGAGCAGAAGGTTGATTAGGGGCTGGCAATGGTGAAAAATTCTTGTACAAACTTTCAATAGTAGCTAACCAGTCCTAAAAAGGATCAGGTGTTGGCCAATCTTTAATGGCAGAAATCTTTCATGGGTCCACAGTTATTTCTTCTGCAGAGATGTAGTGTCCAGTATACTCAACCTTTGGATGCATTAATTCATACTTCTTGGTTTTAACATACAGGTGATGTTTTAGAAGAGTCATCAGAACAGTTGCAGGTGTTGCAGGTGGTCTTATTTAGTCTTACTGTGTATAAGAATAACATTAAGTACACAATGACAAAATCATCCAAGTATTCTTGGAAAATTTCATTTATTAATGTCCTCAAGGTGGCTAGGGCATTGGTCAATACAAAGAGGAGAACAAGAAACTTGTAATGGTCATATCAGATTTAGAATGTAATCTTGGGAATGTCTTCTTCTTTAATGCAGATTTGATGATATCCAGAGTATGAATTAATCTTACTAAAGTATTAAGCTCCAGCCAATCAATCCATTAGTTCTTCTATTTGGAACAGGGGGTACTGATATGGTCTTAAAAATTGGAATCAATCAGACTCACATAGACTTGCATAAGGTTCTGAACACTATTAAAAATGATAGTGGGTTATAACCCACATAGTAAATTTAAAATAAACCTGAAAATCGAGAATCAAATAATTCAAATTATTAGGATCCTTAGGTACCAGTTCTTGATAGTCACATTGTTTAAGGTATGATAGTTGACACAGAATCTTAACATTTCTTCTTTCTTATAAACAAATAATATAGGGGTACCAAAGGGGAAATACTGGGTCTAATGATTCTTTGGCAGTTAGTTTGGCCAATTGTTTTTTCAATTTGTCTATTTTCATATAGGATAAATGATAGGTGGGTCTTGAGGATAGCTCTGCTCCAAATCTATGGTGTAATCAATCTTTCTTTGCGCAGCAGTTAGTTAAGCAATTTGGCAGAAAAAATATCAACAAATTCTTTCAGAATGGCAGCTTCTTCAGAAGAGAGACTTGATTTCTCTGGGATGGCTTCTTCAAAGGTAGCACATACAGCAAATATTTCTTCATCGGTAGGTGTTCTGGCAAGTTGGTGTCTGGAAATGAGAAAGGAATAACACTCAGGTTTCTTTGGAGTCTGGAAGATACTAGCAGAGACTTTGATATTGCATGGTCCATCGTTGAGAGAGTGCATATTGGTTCTCCAGTCAATGTGGAGGTTGACTTGGTACAACTATAGCTTTCTCAGGATGGCATCATATCTTTGCAACTCCAGAACTTGAGCAGAAAATTCAGAGACATGGTACTTTCCCAGTTCCAGAGCCTTGATTTTTATTTTGGTAGTAATTTCTTTCCTTTGTCTATTAGCAAGTTCCAAAGAAAATTGTTGACTTGGCTTCTTTGGTATATGGTTCCTTTCAACAAACTTTTTGTCTACAAAATTATTGGAGGCACCAGAATCCAATAGGATCCATGCAAGGCATCCATTAATCTTACCATTGAACTGGAGCAACTATTCTTAGTTTTCTTCAATATGAATGATCTTGGCATCCAATGAGATGGGTTGCTCTTCAATGTCAGTTTCTTTGGCCTTTGTGACTGTCTTCTTGCATTCTCTTGCAAAGTGGCTTATGCCATTGCAATTGTAATACTTAATTTTCTTCATTGTTTGGAAGTAACAGGCTTGTGGCATGTTTCTACTTGATCTAAGTCCATTGATGCAGGTCCTTGATAACTTTGTAATGATTGGTTCATTTATGGGAATAGCTTTTCATTTGGGTAGCCTAGTCCAAACATGGCAGTATCATAGCAGATTGACTTGTAACTTCCATTTTGTTGCTGATTTCAATCCTTCTATAAAATAGGCAACATGGTCCAACTGATATATATCATTGATTTGGTTTACTAGGTTTCTAAATTGGGAGGCATATTCCTGTATGATTTCTGTTTGGACCAGTTTTTGAGTTGGTAATGCAAATGTTGATAGTGTGGAGTTGGAGTTTTTTCTTAAATTGGACCCAGTCAGTAAAAACAGCACCAGTGATATCCTTGACTTTATTAACAAACCAATAAAGAGTGCATGGCTCTTTCTTCCATGATGCCTTGGGCATATAGGACATTCTTTGTTTGACACAGCCATACTTTAACTTTTTCTCCAGGTTCTCCTTTGAACATAGGGATTCTCAAAGCTATCTTTGGCATAGCAAAAGAAGTGGCAGTATAACTTTTTCCAGTGGTTTCTTTTCTTTTGCCTTGAGTGCAGGCTTTTGTATAGGTTTCAAAGGTTTTCATAAAATGGTAAACTGATTGATATTCATTTTGACAGGGTTTCACTTGGAGTTTTTTTACAAGGGAAAGTTCTTTTAATCTGCTGCTACTAAGTCATAAAAGTCTTAATAAAATTATTGATGATTTCAAAAGACAGTGAACTTGAGTAATTATTATTTTAACACCAACAGAGTTAGGACTTTATTAGGGTCAAAATGGCATCCTTTTATACATGTTAGCTTTATACAACATAAAAATACATAAATAAATAAATATAAAAATACATATATCTATATAGGGCTTAATCTCCAGAGACATATGTACTTAATTAACATAAAGATAATATAAAAATAATAAATATAAAAATATATAAACAATATGCATGCTCTATGGCCTTATGCTCCTAATTTGATTACATTAGCTCATAGTAATTAATTAAGTGGTGTCTTGGTCAGAATCACATCATATATGCATCTGACAATCATCTGGGAATATGTCTCAAACTTGTAGATCATTAGGGACATATCAGATACCTACTGGGGCATCTGGGTCACCAGGCACAGTATGGGTTTCATGGCACAGTTATAGGTCAAGATTGTTACAAAAATGTTTTGTATTTTGTTGGGAGGGATATGTATTGGAATATTCATCAGAATATATTTTTCTATTGTTAATTGGTAGTTGATAAGATGGTTTAGCTTTCGGATAAGGTATTTATGTCTTGATCAGCATTTCTGCTGATGTTTAGAATTAAGTCTTGTGGTTGTACATGATTTAAAAGTTGTTGTTTGCATTTAATAGCATCGGTTACTTCCTCAAAAAAAAAGAGTTATCCATTTGGTCTTTTCTAATTCCAATACTTGTATTCTCTCATGTTCTATGGGTACTACCAGTATATTGTACAGTAGATGACAAAAATATCCGGATTTTTGATTTGTCATGTAAAACATGTTACCATTCATTAAATTTTGATCTAATTTTGTGTGATTGTGTCACGTAAATGTATAAATAAGTTTGTATAAATACAAAATTTTTTTTTGCTGTCTAGTTAGATCTATCCATCAAAAATGCCATGCAACACTGATCCCGCCACACAAAAGAATAACCGTTGGTCTAACGATATCACAAAACCTGCAGAAATTTTAAAAATAACCGGTTTTCCTAGATCCACGATATACGATTATGTGAATCGACTTAAAAAAAGTGGCACCCTTACCCCACTTCCTGTTCCTGGCAGGCCGAAAGTTCTAGATTTTCAAAAATGTCATTATCTTGGTCAGCTTATAAAAAACAATAATTCCATCACTGCCGCTAAAATAGTTATTAAACTTAATAAAACTATCCTGACCTAAATATAACTGAGCATATTATACAGCGTACTCTTAAAAGTTACCTTCAATATGTTGTCTGCCAGCCACAATGAATTCCTCTCCTCCAGCCTACCCACATTAACAAGCGTCTTGAGTGGGCCCAAAATCACGCAAATGACAGTTGGTTTACCACTATCTTTTCAGACAAAACAACTCTTCAGATGTGCAATACTCAGCTAGTTCGGTACCACTGCACAGATCCACATCCATGCTGTAGTATGGTAAAGCATCCATATAAAATCCACGCTTGGGGAGTGTTTACTGCTCGGGACCAGTTTCGTTATTTCTATTTACTGATAATTTAAATGCAAAAAAGTATTGTGAAATTCTTGAATCTTGCCTTCTTCTGAATATAGGTTGTCGGTGGCATCTCCAACAGGACAATTCTCCAGTCCATACAGCTCAAATCACATGCGATTTTCTTGATACCCACCATATTAATGTGATTGACTGGCCCTCTAACTAAATCCGATTGAGAATCTATGGGCGGTATTAAAAAAAAAAGGCAAAAAAAGTGTTAGAATTTGGATAATGAAAAAAAAAAAGCTTACTGTTGATGAATTTAATGAGATTATTAGAAAGGAATGGGAGGGCTTAGATCATGATCTCTTCCTTACATTATCACATAGTATGGAAAATCATATAGATGAGGTAATTTTGTGGGAAGAACAAAAGATAGATTATTGAAATTTTATACATGTTTTTTTGTCATATTTGCGGTTATCCAGGCAAATTTTTATTCAAATAAAATGAAAAAAATTTTTTTTATGTGATAAAAAAATCCAGATATTTTTGTTGCCTATTGTAGATGGTTTTTTTATTGACCTGAGGAAGTGGGTTTCATTTGATTCGGAGCCAAACTCTGCTTTGTTTGTTAATTAGGTTGAATGGATTGTGAGTATTGCAGTTTCACTTTTCTGTCAATATTTCCTACTTGGAATCTTCTGGTTTCTTGTTGGAGTTGTTGTTTTTGAAAGGATCTGGATATTGTATTGTAATTAATTCAAAGGCTTTCTTTTTTAAAAATTTCCTTATACATACTATTCAGTTCTTTTCATATTGAAAGTAAATTGTGTACCAGTCATTTTCATCAAAGAAGATTGATTAAATAAGATGTTGTTTGTTAACAGAAAACTTGAGAATGTTGACAATGTACTTGATTTTTTCTGTTTGGTTTTCACCTGGTGTATTTGTTACTAGCATTCATGCTTTATATAAAGGATTTGTTGGCTGATATTGTTTATTTCTTGTTTTAAAATTCTTGAAAGTTCTAATATCTTGCCTTGGGTTAGGATTAGGTGTGTCAGAGTCTTCACTTGGAGAGGGCTGTTCTTCCATAGTTATCTCAGGAATCTGTGTTTCCTCATCATTAATTATGTTTTCAAAAGAATGTTTGTTTTTAGTTACTTCTGGAATTTGTTATTCACCTATTGTTTGCTCCATAGTATTGACTTAATTAATGTAATTCACCTATTGTTTGCTCCATGGTATTGACTTAATTAATGTAATTTTCTGACATATTCACTTCTCCTTTTTTGGTTTCTTCATTCTGAATTTGGTTGTATTTCTACTGTGTCTATAATAGTAATATTTATTAGTGGTGCTGTATTGGTTGTTCTATCTTTTTTTAACATATACAGCTAGCATCTGTTACCTTCATTATGGTTGTCATTTAGTGTTTGATGATGCTTTATAATTTGATCTATCAGTATAGCTGTTATGTTAACTGTCATTGTGCTTTCCTATATTGAGTGGTTGCATATAATCTAGTTTGTTGGTTTGTGCTTGTACAAGATATATCTTTGTTATTAAGATTGTTTAGTATTTTTCCATGTTTATTTTTCTTTTTGATAACTGTTTTGTTTAATGAGGAGATAGTTATTGCTGCCTTGATTTGTTATTTTCTAATTAGAAGGTTTTTACTATGGGTAACCCATGTTCTAGACAGGTGCTTAGTACATATATTGTGTTTCTCATGTATTTGTTTTGTGGCCTGTATCTTGGCTTGTGAAGAACTATTTGTTTGACATGTGTTTGGCTTTTTGGTTTAGACATGTTTGCTTATTTTGAAGCTAGAGTTGTTTAGTTTTGAGATATGTTTGTGTTCATACTACAGCTGATCCTTTGAAGGGGGTAAGCTGTTTCTGGTTTTTTGAGACTGGTAAATATTGTTTGTGATATGTGAAATCTGAAGAAATAGTTGTTTACATGTTTTGTTTTGTTTTTTTTTAAATAAAAATTTGGATAGAAAACTTTGGCTTGAGTTGATATTCAAGATTATTTGATTTACTGGATGTGATTTGGCTAATACAAAGTCCTGTTGGCATCTAGGAAGATGCCTAACCTGGTATACAACTGACCAACAGCTTGGTAAAATTGATATTGGTTTTTTTTCTTCTGATCTTATTGTTAATTGTTCATTTTGTTTTTTTTTCCTCCTTGTAAATTTTTGTTTGTTTTTTCTAAAAAAAGTTGAACCAAGAAATGTGGTTAGCTTTTCAAAGCACAGTTACCATTCTTGTTATTAGGAAGTGCAGGTTGATTGTTTCTTTTAGGAATACTCTAGCCCTTTTGAAAGTTGTGTTTTGGTCTTTTTTTATTGAGATTTTCTAAAAAAAAATTAGAGTTTTTTTTGGATGAACAACATATATATATATCTTGTAATTGATACTGAATCTACATATAGTTTAATTTTAGAATCTTTCTTAGACAAATTGGAATGAAAAATTGATGAACCATCAAAGGTTAACTTAATGGATGTTAATAGAGAAAAGTGACAATCTTTAAGAAAAGTAAAAAGTTTGTCAATCAATATTAAAGAAACAACAATATCAATTGATTGAACAAATCTGAAGCAGCAAATTATAATATCATTGTGAGAAATGATTGGCTGATGGAATAATAGAATTATATTATAATAAACAAAAACTTTGCTAAAGAATTTCTTATTGAAAAAGCCAAAATATAATGACTTAGGCAATGCAATCGAAAAGAAAAATCTCAAAAACTGGAGAAGTCTGAATATGAATCCAAGGATAAACTTGAGGACAAGCAATATTGTTTTATTGTGAAAAACTTTAATAAAAAAACCATTGGTACAAGTAAAGAAACAAACCATTATTATTGAAGATAAAAAGAAACCAATTAAATATATGCAGGAACTGAGGAATTTCAATTAACCAATTATTAGAAATAAAATAGATCACATAGCTGGAGAGGACCAAATACTATTTGTAAATGTAATGATTATCTGGAAGGTGCCAACAAAAGTTGGGAAATTTGGAACTTGTCAAATATCTAAACCAGAAATATGAGGAGGCAAAAATTGATAAGTCACATGACCTGACCACTACATAACAACAACAATTAAATAATTTTTTACAGAAATACCAATATTATAGCAATAGAGGATTCTCACAGAAAACTTTAACACCTACTCAACAGACACTTCACATATAAATGCTTAAACAAAGGCCATATTATTTATCACCTGTTGAACATAAATTTGTAGAAAAAGAAATTGATCAACTGATTCAA